AAATAACTGTTGAAATAAATAAAAAAAACTGGTAAAGTAACTATTCAGTCAACTAAAGTTTCAAATGCATATAAATAGTTTAAATCAGTCTAAATATTTTAAAAATTTCATTGTGTATAGAAGAGCATGATAATTTAAATAATATGGAATATTGAAATAATAAAAATAATGTTTCATTATATAATCCTTTAATACAAAATAAATTATGTAAGAATAAATTATCTATATTCCATGTGATATACAATAATGTTTTAACATTGTATTAGGAAGTCATATACTATTGACGACTTATTCGAATTTTAAGGAGTTTGACGTAGGCAAATTAAATTACATTTCAAGACTTGTAAATTTTTTTAGAGAATTCAAAACAACCGTTTTAATGTGCAATAGTGCAAATGTCGTGTAAATTTTTCATTACTATGTATATCGGTATGAATGTATATGATTGATAAAAGATCGATAAAATTTAATTAAATGTTTGCAATCTGCTTAAATATATTTTAATGCTAATTTAAAGTAAATTACTAGTGGTTCTATGTCAGTGTACCATGTAAGTTATTGCTTAATTATAAAAGTATAATTTCGTGGAATGAAGTACTACATCCAAAGGCCATTAAAGTGATTGTTAAGAAATTAAATTTACGTACGATTAAGAATACATTATTTTGCGATTTTTTTTTTTTGTTGACAAAAAAGTTATTTTTGTTTTAAAATCAGCTTTCTATATTTTTAAACTTAAATATATTTATATTTTTATGACTATTATTATTGGTATTGCATCAGTTACTAAGGTTATACTACTTTAAAATGATATACAGAACAAAAATGAGATTATTATATAACAAAATTAAATAAGCAATGAAAATGGTTAATTTTTCCTTGTGTTATTGATATATATATGTAAAAAAAAAAAGTGTTACGATCTGTTTGTATTTCTTACGACATAGAAAATATTGTCATCTGTATTGAAATTTAGAATAAATATTATTACTGTAATCCAATTGGTGGTTTTTTGTAAAAAAATCGATTTTCACAAATAATTAATAGCTATTGGGCATATACCATCGTCTTGGGAAAAATAAATAAAAATTATATTACATAAGGCAAAACGCCTAAAATATGTGTGTTTTATGGTATCTATACTTATATATGGACGTAATTTGGAAAACGTTAATGCAGGCCAAACGCATGTTAATTAAAGCTGTTGAAAGCGAATTGTTTTTAAGGGATTGAATATAGGCAATATTCTATACCATCGGGAATTACTGTGTAAATGTATTCCCCGAATGTGTAATTATTACATTAGATCAGTAAAACAATTTACTAATAATTTTATTTCCGTCACGGCACGCATTGTATTGCCAAAACAGATAATACAATTACAGAATACATATAATAAAAATTATACAACATAGTATAATAATATACTATATAGTTCAAAATTGTATTTATACACATAAATACATAGTTATTTTATTATAAACACTTATTGTATAAATGATGTTTTATTAGTAAATAATAATTAATGATAAACAAAATAATAATGTATATTGTGTATATTTTGTTACACAAATATACATTAATTAACACTTCTTTTCTAGTATACCGGCCACCAGCCCAAATTGATAGTACTCGATCAAATATTAGGTTAATTAATTCAGGCAGTAAAGCGTTCATGTAAAATTTTGTAATTGATGGTTTAAGTTTTGAAGTACAAAATTCAACACCTTTGTATATTTTGTCTACTATAACTTATAAGGTTTTCTACCTCAGTAGAAATAATAATATATACAAGTATACAATACTATTGTAAAAGCAATTAAAAAATTAATTTAAATGTGCAGCCATAAAGTGGGTGGTTAATTTTCTGAAGTGAAATGAATAAATGATTTATATTAACAATACGTTCACCGCCACAAATAAACCTAGTGAAAATAAAAATAATTTAAGTAAAATTACTATTGTTTATAATGTGCGGAGACTTTATGATTTCTATTGAAATTATTTATTTATTTTCCGTTCAAATATCTATAAAAAAAAACTGTGTTCATTTATTTTTATATTTTTTAGCATCAAATAATTGTGGGAAAACTTCACGTTAATTTAATTAATTTTTAACCACAAAGCAATATTTGCAAATTTTCGTGAATTTGATGAATTTTGTTTAAAATTTCAACTTTAAAGCCTGCAAAAATATTTGCATATGTATCTTTAATATTTTTAGCTGCTATAATAAGAGCTTATGATCTTAAAAAAAATTATAAAACTACATTCGTAGAACAAAAAAAAAAAATTCGAAAATCGCACATTGATTGCACGATGTCCATTTGATAATAAAATTTACAATTTATATGATGGTGGTAGATCGTCTCTAGTTTTTGCCCTAATACATATAATATTATTTCATATATGTATATGTACTTTTGGCTTTCTATAAGTTTGATATTTTACCATAGTTAGTAAATAAGTACATTACCTGTGATGCGCTTGTTTTATCTTAAAATGAATTAGGTACTTGGGTCAAAGTATCACTTAAGTTTTGTCTTATAGTTTCGTAGTATTTTTGGTTCATCGAAGTTTCTAAGTTAACAATAAACGTCTGTTTGAACTTTTTCTTTTGAAACATTTGTAAAGTAGAAAACAAATGTCGATAAAAACTATTTTTAAATTTTTGTAAAATAACTCACAGAAATTTGTTATGTACTTGTGCGTGAGTAAGTTCTAAGGATGCAAGTCGCCAAGTCCCCAAAGTTTTAGAAGATAAAATCAATTTTTAGAAATTTATGTTTCTACAAAATTATAAGAAAATTTTTGTAGTCTTTCATTCATAGGACACTCGCTCATATAATCCTCGACAAAACTATTATTTACATCTTCCGGACTTGGAAATAATAGGCCAAATATATTATGTAACCCATTTACCAATTTCAAATGACCTGTCTTTATATAAACCTCGATAAGCCAATTTCTTGTATTTTACGATATCAAGATAGTGTTAAATGAAACCGGCATCATGAAATATTGGTTCGTGTCATATTTCAGAAACTATGAAGTATAGTCTTTTTGAAGTTAACAGTTATTTTGGGAAAAGAAAAAAATAATCCCAAGTCTTTGTACTTTTTACTTATTGCATAAAAAACGTAGTAGCTAGTTATCCATTTGTGAACATTTATCTGGTAATAAGCAAAAAAAAAAATATATGGAACGTTGTAAATTAATGACATTCAAGTATTCATGAATTGAAAAATTTGTAAAAAAAAAAATGAGTTTATAACAATCGAAAGTTTCTTTCATATAAACGCTGTATCAATTGTTGATAAAAATCTAACATTTTTTTCATTTGAAAATATTGTTATATTTTCTTTTTTTCATTTATGAATAAAAAGTTTTTATTTTATTTAGTTTTTACATAAAATTAAAATAAGTCTATATGGGTATCAGCTTTACTATAAGGATTGTAAGGTATAATTTTAAATCGTTTTTTATACATATTTTATTTGATTTTATTTATACCGGAAATAGTTATATCTGATTAATTATTATTTTGTGTGATTTCAATCAGAATAATAATTATCGTTAGTCATGCAATTCAATTTTCAGTAGCTTTTCTTTCACGTGTTGTATTTATCACTTGCTTCTTCAATACTTTGCTGGAATATTTATCATAATAAGTGCTGTGGCGAATTTCTATTGCCATAAATTGTATTATTTTTAATAACTGTGTAAGAACTTTTTCTCTGTATAGTTTTAGTTGTACACCGCCAACATATTAATTGTTAATTTTACGTAACAATTCGAAACTTAAAATTATTTAAAATTAACTTTTTTTTATCACGATCACTTTTAATAATTATAATTTCTTTTGTGCTAGAACGTATTAAGTACATGGTTTATATACTTAAATTCACAAAAAATTCTACAATAAGGAATCACTGAAATCTAAAAACTGAAATTTGTGGTGGTTGAAAAAATATAGTATAAAGTATTATACTGTTGGTAAACGTTAAGTCGATTTTGATGGCAAATGGTGACGTCCGTTAATTTACATCATTGTGTGTAATCTTATAACTTATAATCTATCGGTGAATATATTTTCATAAGCTTTTCTACTTTTTCAAATTGTATTCAAATTTTTAGTAAGTCAATTATATTCTAATATTGCCATGTACACATCATGTATTACATATGGTTCTAACAACCAATCATTTAAAAATTTAATTATAGATACGTAAATGAATTGTAATTATTCAGACGAGGAAGCCTCTTCTTGAGTAACCATCATTGTTTTTAATTAGATATAAGCTATTTATATCTAACTATAATCTTTTATAGACAAACATGACGCGTATAAAAACAACAAATGAACCACTAATACAGTATGTATAATAATATCTTTAAACTTGGTAAGTATATTATTTTACTGTTACTTCCTATGCTATACGAGCCTATATGTAAATCATAATATATTATTAATTATTATAAAACTGTAAATTATTATTATGCGTAAATGCTTAATTATAATACAAACTTATAATAATATATCCTATATGGTCTATGACAGTGGTGCGCAACCTGGGGGTCGCGACCCCTAAGGGGGTCGCGAAATTTTATTAGGGGGTCGCCAGTAATCACCAAATGAAAAAGTTTTATACTATACTATGTATATTGTATATTATTTTATAGTTTTATACAAAGTAAAATTATTTTATACCGTTGATAGCTGTGTCAATATTATGACATTATGTCATATCTTAATGTTGCGATAACAAGTTCTATTGAACCACGCAGTATATGGGTTATTTTTAAATTGAATTTAATCAGTAATTTTATTTAATCTTACGGTTATTATGAAATAGTCCGATAGTCATGTACGAGCCGTTGAGTTAATCGTATTAATGCTTATAATTTTGTATAGCTTGTAATAATTATTTGTATTTTGTATTATTTTAAACTAACATTTTTAATATTTTAATATTTTATAATATATAAACTAAAACGATATGGATAAATTTTTAATTAAACGACCGATGAATAGTGATGATGAAAGTGCTATAGAAACTAAAGTTCGTAAGGTATCGGAAATGTCGTCAGATGTACAAACCAGTCGAAAAGTTAATAAAAAGGACCGTAAATACCAAGACAGTTACATCAAGTTTGGATTCACTTTCGATGTTGAAAAAAGGTGAGCCAAAATGTGTTATTTGTTTAGAAAGATTAGCTTCAGAAAGTATGAAGCCATCAAAGCTAAAACGACATTTAGTTACTAAACATCCTCAATTCCAACATAAAGAGGAAGACTTTTTTAAAAGGTATGAAAATTCGATAGAAGTTCAAAAAAATACTATGCGTAATTTTTCTTCAGTTCCTATAAAAGCTCTAGCTGCATCATTAGAGGCTTCATATTTAATTGCTAAAACCAAAAAACCACACTCTATTGGTGAATCTCTAGTTTTGCCGGCCGCTATAAAAATAGTATCAATTATGCATGGCGAATCATATGCAAATGAATTAAAAATGATTCCCTTATCAAGAGATACTGTGTCGCGTCGAATTGAAAATATGTCTGATAATATAAAATCACAACTCCTAAATAGATTACGAGGAAATTATTATGCAATGCAATTAGATGAATCTACGGATATAACTAATCTTGCTCAACTTCTTGTATATGTTAGATATATTTATAAAGATAAAATTGAAGAAGACTTTTTATTTTGTCAACCATTAGAAGGACGTACGACTGGAAATGATATTTTTGTTCTTATAAACAATTTTTTTAGAAATTAATGAAATTCCCTGGTCAATGTGTGTGTCAATATGCACTGACGGTGCAGCTGCCCTTACTGGTTCAAAAAAAGGTTTTAAAGCTAAAGTTCTAGAAGTGTCTTCAAATATAATGTTTAACCATTGTATGATTCATAGAGAAGCTTTAGCTTCCAAAAAACTTCAACCAGATGTTAATAAAGTACTCCTTAATGCTATAAGTGTAATAAATTTTATAAAATCAAAGTCATTAAATTCCAGACCTTTTTACTATACTTTGCAATGAAATGGGTTCTGACCATGAAAAATTGCTTCTTCATACTGAAGTAAGGTGGTTGTCTCGTGGTAAAATATTATCACGCCTTTTTGAACTCAGAGATGAAGCACGAATTTTTCTTCTGGAACGTAATAATAAACTTTCGGAACATTTTTTAGACGAGCAATGGCTTGCAATTCTGGGTTATCTTGCAGATATATTTGAAAAACTAAATTGTTTAAATTTAAGCCTACAAGGGAAAAATACTAATATTTTATTTCTTTCTGATAAAATCAATGCTTTTAAAAAAAAAATTCTTCTGTGGAAAAATTATATCGACGATGAAAAATTTGAAATGTTCTCATGTTTATCAGAATTCCTCAGTGATAATGATGTGGATATTAATATGATAAAAGAAATTATAACTACTCATCTAATAAGTTTACAAACAAACTTTAATGCACGGTTTGAAGATTTCCCAGAAGAAAGTCTAGGTTGGATAAGAAATCCATTTCATTTTAATATCAATGAAATAAAATTAGGAAATTTAAAAATAAGCGAAGAACTTATTGACTTGTCATCAGATGAAAATCTACGTATCAGATTTCAACAAAATGCATGTGATACATTTTGGATTTCCATCAAATCTGAATATCCAGAATTATCAAAACAAGCTATATCAATTTTACTTTCTTTTGCATCAACTTATTTATGCGAAACAGCATTTTCAACACTAACGATAATTAAAAACAAATATCGCTCCAGATTAAATGTTGAAGCTGATTTAAGAGTAGCAGTGTCAAATATCAAACCAAACATAGAATCAATCATGTCTACAATGCAAGCTCAGGTTTCTCATTAAAATAATTAAAAAGTAATTTTATAATTTTAAAAATATTAAAATTTTTGATTATCATTATAATGATACATTTTTTAATTTTAGATTTTATAAAACTCTAATTTTGTATTTTTTTTTTTCATGTTTTTGATTAATTAAATTAAAGAAATATTAAAACTGCTCTAAAATTAACCATTTAATGTATATGAATAAAATGTGTGTATACATTATTATATACATTATTATTATTATTTGTAGACTATTAAGTAAATTTAAATTACACACTTACATAATGTTGGTAGGAAGGGGGGTCGTATTAAAAAATAAATTATTTTGGGGGGTCGTGGATCAAAAAAGGTTGCGCACCGCTGGTCTATGACATTTGTACTAATATTTATACATTATATTCTTACAGTTGTGTAAATAGACATAAAAATATAAATGGTAAACACTAATATTATAATAATATTTAGATTACCTCCAGAAAAAACACAATTTTGTTGTTAAAACAATAGAGTTCATGAAAGAAAAATAATATCAGTGAATTTATTAGTATTATTTTAGTGTTGATAGCGTTCACGAGATAAAACAAAAATAAATACATGTGTGTTATTTAACATAATTTATTGGTATAAATGTATAATGGTTACCTATATTAAATTTTGCAGCTGAATAATGAAAATCACTATACCTATAATATTAGATACATAGAAGCACAGAAACTTATATATGTGTTGATTTTCACAATCAGTGAACTGTCCTAAACATATACAATAAAACAAGACATTCTTCTATCAATCAATATTTGCAATTTAGTCCGCTTCAAATAGTATAATTTAATTTCTTGATACATTTAGGAAGAGAAAATTCTAAGTTTTCAGATTCACCGAATCGCTCAATCAAGGTACCGGAATCTACATCGACTACACTTAAATTTGTCGTTATTGCCGGTAACTTACTCAATACTTAGTACCTACATACTATAACGGTATCTCACAACTGTTCATAAATTATTTTTTATTCGTATATGTATCTTGTTACGCATGTATTTGTTAACATTTATCTTTAAATCCATTTTTATGGATATAATTTACGTAGAGTTCTGAATTGAAATTTATCAGTTAAGATATTTAAAAATTTTAAAGTTTATTTTTTATGAAATTATGAAGAAAGAAAGTATATTTTTAAACATTATATCCTGATATAGATGATTAGTGATTAATTAATGATTATACATAGCAATCATTGATGATGAATGATTTATCAACATAGTTCCAGAATTAAGTGCTGCAGTAGATGTCATAAGAAAAGCTGCAAGGCCCCATCCTGTGTAAGTGCATTAACTATAAATTAGTAGTTATTACTTACAATTTGAGACTTGTTATGCTTTTTGGAGTCAAAGTATCATGACATGGCATTGGATAATATTTGTAATTTGTATAAATGAATTTCCGCTTATTTACAAGGTTTCCTTTAGTATCTACATATATATAAATAATATTTAATAATTAATAAAAATTAATAACACTGCAATAATTTTAGAAGTGTATTATATAAGTATCACTATTTGATATAACTATCAAATATTATTTTAATAAATATACTAAATAAAATTATAAAATATCAAATATTTTAAATTTTGAATAGAGCTATGAATGAGGGTATTAATTTTACAATGGTTCGTTATTTTTGTAAATGTATATACGATAAGTAGTCGATAAAATGTTTTGATTTTCAACTTTTATAATGGTTTTGGATAGAAAATTGGATCTAGTTTGTACTTTGAAAAGGTCATAATTAAAAATTCCAAATACTTTTCTTTTTTTTTATATAACCGGTAAAAATAAAAATAAATTATGGAAAAACAGGAATTGTTATGAAAATTCAATGTTAAATAAAATCACTTTTTATTTTATATAAGTAACTTAAAAATAAATAATCGTAGATACTTGAAATTTTCACAAAATGTTTATTTTATCATTTTTTTATGCAATAAAATTCTTTAAATATTTTGAATTTTTATGCTATTTATAGACAATTGCAATTTTTTATTTTTATTGTTATGAATGTTGATAAAACATTTATGAATGGATAAAAATTAAAAGTAGTTAAAAATGTAATACAAAGTTCCAAATAAATTATTTATTTTTCAATTAAAAAATATCTAAAATTTATAGTTACAATATTTTTTTATATGTACTTAAATTTAAAACTTAAAATTTATCTAAATTTCGAAAATTACAAATTATTTTGTAGTTAGAAGTTCATAAAAACTTTTTGTTTTAGGTACATCTAAGTTTTAAAGATTGATTGCGTGATTTTTTTTATAAAAAAACAAATTATTCTGAAATGTCTTAAACTTTAAAATTTAAAAAATATTATACAAAGTAATTTATTTAAGATATTTTAAGTTATAAACATAGTTTACGAAATTGCTTATTTAAATGGTAAATAACAATATTGATAATTTTTGTTATAATTTGAAAACTTCATTGTGGTAATTTTAAAATTGTACATATATTATACTATTTTATTATTTATTTATACAACGAATCTATTTTTACTGTTTTACCTTATTTTTAGAGAAAGATGTTTTTACATTTTGATTGTTATATAAGTTGATATGATATATTATATAAGTATATAATATTATACATCATTATAACAATATTATTATGCATGCAATATTTTTGGAAAGATTTTTATCAATGTGGTCAACGTACTGTAATACTAAAAGTAAAATAAATGAATTTATTAGTTAGATCAAAAAAACATATCAATGATGTATCATAAAACATACCCAATAATTGTATAATATAGGCGACAGACTATCTCCGCTCAGAATAGTTTTTTTAATACAATGATATATCATTGAATTTAAGTTAAATAGGTTCACCCATAATAGTGATACACTTGACCCTAATGTACAGCAGATCGGTACTTACTTGCTTAGGTACTTTTATTTTTTTGTTTTAGATTTAAGATTTTTAAATGTAGGTATTATAGATATCATTAATTATGGACTTTAATAGATTTATTTATTTTTAAATCTTTTTACATAGATCATAGATTTATAATGTATAAAGTAACTTCTACATAGTAATATAGTACTCATATATTCCTTTAATGTTTCAATCGATAAACATACTTTTAAAAAGCGGACAAGTTGGTACCTACCGTAAATGAAATATAGTACAGATAATTAGTAGGACTACTCGTTTTTATTTTAGTGAGTAAAAGGAGATGTTTAAAATTTATCACAAAGCACTTTACACCGTGTGATTAAAATTGAATCATAACTTCTAGTATTAATAATAAATATAAAAAGTGAACAAAGCTTTCGAAATTACAACTTTACTTGCGACATAGTTGTTTTCTATATTTTATATAAGACAATGGAAATTTAGTTAGACTTATTCTCTGAAGAAATAAAATATATAATTGAATATATCTGCTATTGATTTAAAATGCTAGAATCAAATATAATATTATGGTTGATGAATTATATACCTAATTCAGCAATTTTCGGAACGTTATAACATTTTTCTGCGGAACGAAATAATTATATTTAATCCTTATTATGTATATTATTTATAATTTTCAAATAAAATAGTTTTTTTTTCTATACGCTGTGCAATGCAGTGATCTATGGACAGTGTTTAGTTGTTTTAGTGTACTTAAAAAACCTAACAGTAGCATTGAAATTTTATTTTTATTTAATTTTCGTATACATAATTCAATAAAAATGTTACTTTAAAAAAAGTATCACACTGAAAAATTAATTTCAGTATGGAATTAACTTTAAATAGGTATTTATTGCTTTACCATCACCACACACTAATGAGTTGTGTGCTTACTATGTGGGCTTTTGTTCAATTAGGATTTATTTGTCGAGTGTAGACCCATTGTCCATTACCCAGATTAAATCCTCGATAGGAAAATAACATTTTTAGAAATGAGTAAATGACATTAAAGTATTTTATTATTTGATATCAATTATCGCTATTTTAATATTTATAGTCTTAGACTACTGATGGTGGTCAACTGAATGCACTTTTGTACTGACTTATTATGTGTGTTATAAATTTTTACGATAATGTTTTAAAACCGAATACTTTATTTTGTTTAAAACGTTTTAAACAAAATAAAAGGTTAAAACAAAACTATTTTTTTCCATTGTGAATACATATAATAACCTTGGTGTTAGGTGACGTGAGAGTGCGTATGTGTTAGAAAATAGAAATAACACAATATAATTTAATTTGTATAAATAGAGGGTAAGTGTATTATTTCTAATCATCTTAACCATAAGTACGCAACAATTTATAGTAGTCCATACCGCTAATGAAAATGTGGTTCGTAAGTCACTCCACAGCGCATTTTTATGGAATATTACCAATATTAAACCCTTAAAAAATTTTCTACTTAAAAAACTACAATATCTCAAAAATATTAATACCTTTATATAGGTAAGATAAACAGTTATATAGTACATTTGCATATTTAAACGATAAAACATTAAAAGAAAGTTCAAACTTCTGTGTGTTTTTCAATCAATGTTTTAGCTCAATATAATATTAATAAATGTAATATATAATACATAATATATACAAAGTATATAATGTGCACTATAATACTTAATCCTTGTGACAATCAGCTCATATTTCATTTTATCTGGGGGTGAAAATTCAGCATTTGTTTACTTTTCCAGAAATGCTTTTGACATTTTATGATCGCCAAAGAATATAAATTGCGATATTGTTATAAGGGATAGTATATTGTATTATATACAAACAAAAAAGTTAGAAGATGAGTTTATGAAGACGATAAAGTTTTATGTGTTTGTCAGAGACTTCAATATGTAACGTTTTTATATGCTTGCAAGTTGCAGATTAAATTTAAGGGTATACCTATACCTAAGATTTAAAAATTTAATACAAGGTCCCTCAAAAGTAATTAATTTTTAAATCATAAATATGAAAAAATATACAAAGATAATTACTTTTTATAGATATTTTAAGTTC